TCCTTCTGTGTATAGTGATGACCTTTTTCAATCAACAACACAGAATTTCCGGTCATTCTTGCCAACCGTGCAGCAATTACACTTCCACCTGCTCCTGAGCCAACGACAACTATATCATAATTTAACTCTTTTGTCTCATCTGTAATTTCAACAAACTCATATTCGGGGAAAGTACGTTCTTGACATTTTGGACCTGTTGCTTCCGGATCAGGTCCGGGGTAGCCAATTACTGGATATAGACCATACGGATCTGACCAAAAAGCAACACATGTTAAATGATAAAGAATTCCAAAAATCTGTCTATTGGCTGCTATCTGACTTGTGCTCCATTTGGAAACGATCGCCTCTCGTTGTTTCTGACCGAGCTCATTAAAAGCTTTCATTGAAGATGTCATTCTGTAGGTAGAAACGCCTCGATTGCTAAGGCGTTTAAGAAGTGATTCAATCTCTGACATTTTATGCGGTAGAACGGATTTGGATAGTTGATCAATAATTCTGTCCAAAAAGTCGTCTTTTTTAGATACATCAAGTTTTCCAAATTCGCGAACTCTTTCATCTCCTTCTTTGGTAACTTTGGTTTCAGTCTCACAAAGTTTGTCAAGTTCATCCACATCAAGTTCCCCTATGAAGGCACCACAAATCGCTCTTAACACCCTGGCTTGTTTATAATTAAGTTGTAGCAGACCATCGGTATGTTCCGAGATCTCGTTGGTTTTACTGTCGCTGGTGACAGATTGAATTGAAATATGTTCATCAGTCCCATCAGTCATTATGAATGTATTTTAGATTCCAGATTACAAAGAAAATTCGATCGTTTTGAAACTATGGTAAATCATCAAAGAAAGATAATTCAATAATCAGTAAATAAATCAATCTTATTAAAAGGACTTACCGTGACAAGGATTTATCAAAGGTATTGAAAGAAATAAAGAAGCACCGACTTTACGAAGATGGCCAATTGATTTTAATAATTTTAACTTAAAAACTGATTAGTACCGGTATGGACAGTGTTAAGGGTTCATTTAAGAAGATAGATCGGGTGCGCAATCCAAAACTAGAAGGGAACCTTGATAAACATATGCTCTATGGTTGATAGATCGCGTTGATCATTCGTCGCAATGGTAACACGTATATCACAATTTCGTTGTTCAATATGACATCGAAATTGGTCTGAAAAAATTATGCAAAACTTTTTTATGTATCTGCATATTAATATTTTCTTTAAATATGATTTCACTTTAGCATGTTACACTTGATAATGTTGGATACCTCATTGAAAATTCCTAGCATGAAAATCCCAACGGACATCAAAAAATGTTATTTAAAAAAAAAAAATAAAGTGAAACCGTTTGAGTTGATCATGTATTAAACAAGGAGATTTTAAAACACCGGGTCAACGTAAAATAGAAAATTCCTACGTACATAGACCATTCTTGAGTTCCAAGTTTGTAATCATGTGATTTCGATAAAGTCTAAATGAAAATCATGTAATTTTATGGTATAGCACTGGCTAAAGTAATGCATGATGCCTTTACCATATTAAATAAAGTTTTGGCATTGTATTTTCCACGAGAATCGTAAAGAATCTACCTTCTTTTTTTTTTTTTACTTGCGCAACGCGAAGTGTTTCCGAATCCCACACTTGAGGTGATTTCTTTGGCCAAAAAAAGGAAAAAAGCATGTAAATGAAGAACGGGAAAAGAATTATTCTATTTCCCTTTATTTAAAGGACTTCTTTCTTTTTTACAGACATAATGACAGCTCATATATCATCGACCAATTATGCCAAAGATCTTTTCGATACGCGACCTTATGCTTCATGTATAATTGGATGATCAGAAATACTTAATTATCCATTGCTGATCGAATTAACGTGAATAAATTCTAAATATTTTTTCGTATTACCACTCACCACAGTATACACATTGTTAGAGGTACAGTAGATGCTGATCGACCGAAATATTATACACGTGATTGCAGCGCGGTCTCGTTAGTTATCTAAGTAAACTTTTTTAAACTTCATTTAGTAACCAGTTAAAACTGGAGGATGCAGGGAGATGTCATCTATCGAAATGAAAAGGTGACAGTAAGAAAGAAATAAAAGACAAATCTTGTTCTGCTGTACAAAATTATTCGTTTTGGCCTTATTGTTTGTTCATCTCGACAAGCCTCAACGATGGAAGCGAGTGCTGATCCAAAATTAGGACGATTGATGCGTCATTAAAATTTTTTTTTAGTATATACTGTATTAAGGTAGTTTTGTCACTTTAGATTTATACATAATTAATATAATGTTCAATATGCAGTATATTAATATTATTTATTTAAAATACAATATTATAATTTGTTATCAATATCAAACACAATTTATCTTCAATGAATACCTGACGACTTTTACCGGATTAAAATTAAAGGCCAATGCGAACACTAGTAACGATGAGGATAGCAAATATTTTTATATTTGAATATCCTCGGTATATATACAGTATATTTCATTTATTAATTTAATTAATTAATGAGGGCTATACATATATTAGTTAAAATATTTTTTGAATAATTTTTTTTATTGTTTTTTTGCTATAATAATCTACAGAACGAGATACCCAATGACCCTCATATAATTTATTTAAATATCTAATTTAATATTAAAATTTTTAAACAATCGATTATTTATTTATTTATTTACTTTTGTTTGCATCTTAATACACGTAATCATCTTTATTTACACGTGTATTATTATTATTAAATTGTGCGCAATTAATTATATTCCAATTGTTATCGTTATTGTTGGAAGTTTTGTAAATTGATAAAAATATAATTATTTTGTATTTAGGAATTAAAATCATTAATTATTCCAAGTTATACATACTATAATAAAATGCGTAGATTATAATTATGGGTTAATCAAAATAAATAAAAATATGTAATGTTTGGTCATCATCGTTAATTATTGTCGTTAGTCATTTTTATCATATTCAATTTTTTAATATTTTGAATTTGAATATTTTCATTAAAAAATAATTATTAAACTCTTTTACACAAGCGAATTTTATTTAAATGTCATTATTCTTTTAAAAAAACGATAATAAAATTTGGTATACTATATACAGCACATGTGTGTTAAAGACATTGAAACGTATCTTCTTTAACATACAGTACATGATTTAATTAATTCTTTATGCTTATTTGAGACCATACGGCTTAATCAAATTAGCTTATTTAAAACACAAAAAACTTTACTTTGCAAGAAGGAGTAAATAAAATTTGGCAGGTTTATTGAGAAAAAAAATTAATATGTCTCTCTTTTTCATCTTTTTCATCCTTTTTCATCCTTTTTAAATAATATTAACCACCGAGCGCGTCGCGTTACTGGTATTATACTATAGCAAATCACATGTTATATCACGCGACAACTTACAAAGAAATACCGTAATGAGTATCAATCAGTGACACCGATCACCCACATAAGTGAGACAAAAAAGATCAACTCTTTGCAATATCTTCTTGATGTTTTACATCCGAAAAACTTGGCCTGTCTTGATAATTCTTCTTGGTGCCCAATTCATTGGACTCGGTTTATTTGCCAAAGGGTTTTTTCCGTACAAATCAATTCTACCAGGATTTGCAAAAGTTGATGAATTTCCGCAGTATCCAAATGGAGAGGAAGCATCACCTCCCGAACCATTATTTGATAGACTGGTATTCATGCTTGTTGATGCGTTAAGAAGGTATTTCTGCAATCATTTTTTAAAGATAAATTGCCATTGACCCAATGATAATATTATCAATTTTGCATTTAGTGACTTTATATTTGGCGAGAACTCCGGCATGGAATTCGTGAAAAGGTAATTTGCTAATAGTTGGTGATTTTTATTTATCTCCTGATTTATCGTGAACTTTTATTAGTCTTATAGGAAATCGTTACGCGATACCTTATACGGCAATTGCTTCGGCTCCAACAGTTACACTGCCAAGGATAAAAGCACTTACCACTGGTAAGAATTAGGCAAGATTGTCTGCGCAAGAAACAAAACTCACGTATACTGTTTAAATGCAGGGACTGTTCCAAATTTTTTGGATGCAGTCCTTAACATAGCAGAATCAGACACCTCGTCATCTCTTGCACGCCAAGATAATTGGTTGATACAGTTGAAGAACTCCAGGAATAAGACAATTTCTTTTTTTGGAGATGACACGTGGATAAAATTGTTTCCTGGCGTGTTTAATATCACAGACGGAACCACCTCATTTTTCGCCTCAGTAAGTATACATCTGTCTCACAAAAACCTTTTCAATGTTTATTCATGGGAATCTTTCTTGTATTTAGGATACAGTTGAAGTTGACTTAAATGTCACAAGAAATGTGATTCCACAATTGTCATCTCCAGAATGGGATGTTTTGATATTTCATTATCTTGGCCTAGATCATGTTGGTCATTCAAGTGGGCCACATAGGTATTTGTTCAGTGTATCTTTTTCTTCATCTATTCCAATTGGCCTGTGATGTATTGCTCATTACTTTTAAAAAGCCCATTGATGTTCCCGAAACAACAAGAAATGGACGATGTAGCAAAAACCATCTTTGAGACTATAGTCAAGCAGGATGACATTCGGATTAAACAAGATGAAAATGCTAAGCCAACCTTATTTGTATTGTGCGGAGATCATGGAATGAACGAGGTTTTATCTGAGCACTCTTGCTATTTTCAATGCTGTGAAATTATTTGCGTGATATTTATTCGCCCTCATCTACTTTTTATTGCTTTACCTAGTAGGTTGGAAACCATGGTGGTTCATCCGTGGGTGAAGTGACAACTGTATGCATCGTATCATAGCAAGTTTCTATTTTGAATAATGAATCATGTTTTTTTAAAATTCTTTGATTTTGTAGGCTTTTGTTTTTATGAGTTCAAAATTTCAACAAGTGAAGCATGTTCGCGAAAAAATGAACTCAGTTCACGACATTCAATCATTACGATATTATGAAGTTGTTGATCAAATAGATTTGGTACCAACACTATCACTTTTGTTTGGAATTCCAATACCAAAGAATAACTTGGGTAAGGTTATGTTGGACGTTTTAGAAGATAGTGATCGTAAGTGTAATTTAAATGTTAATGCAGCCTTTCAACACATTGTCACTTTTTAAAATTTGTGATCCTTTATAGCCCTAGAAAAGCTGCGAATGTTACAACTGAATGCTCATCAATTATCTGGTGTGTTACAAACATTATGGAAAACCTTTGATCGTGATCCTGATGTCATCAATGCACAAGGTATCAAAGATTGTGATTTCGATAACGGCGAGGAGAAAGAAAGACTTCAGTGCCTGTATTGGATTGCATATTATTATCACATGAAAGCACTTGGTTTTTTTGATATGGATTTTATTAAAAATGCAACGTCTTTTTACGAAAAGGTAATGGTTGAAATATTTGGTTTTCCCATTAGATGCAAAAAACCTATTCATACACTTTATTCTAACTCTGATTTTAGTTTATTTCCGAATCAAGCTCTCGCCTATCCTCTAGCTCAAGGGACTATGATGTTGAATCAATGTTCTGGGGCCTACTTTTTATGGGATTTTCGGCCATTTGCTTTTTAATGGTCATAACAAGCCAAAAAAGTAAACAGATGTTAAAAAGTCAGGGAAGAAAAAGATTAGAGTTTATTACATTGTCAAGCATATTGGGATTTTGTGCAACCTTGTTTGCAAGTAGTTATGTAGAAGAAGAACATCAGTTTTGGTACTTTTGGATTCAGACATTGTGGGTTGGACTCTTTATAAATAGGTATTGACATCGACAGTTTATTCTTCAAGGATTTTGGTTGACCTTTCTTCTGAGTCATTGTTTTATTCTCTCCAATTTCAGTTTTGATTTACATAATTATATAACTGACCTAAGACTAGCATTAACATTGATTGGTCAGATGTTACTCGTTCGTCTAATTCGCAGTTGGAATCAGACAGGTTTGTCGCGAGTTATATCGGTGCAATTTGAAATTATAACTTTTTTCATTTTATTCACCTTTTCAAATTACGTATGAAAAGGGCAAAAGTATGCAGGAGAGACGGATCTAAGATTTTATCTAAACACCTCTTATTTTTACACAATGTGGATGCTATTTTTTGGAACCGTTTTATTGCTGACCACGAAAACCTTACTTGAGATACGCTTTTACATGGAAGCAAAATACCTCAAGCGAAGAAAATTATACAAAAATTCCCAACTAATAGTCCAACTATTGGTTGTAATCGTCGCCATCATGATAACTAAGTATAAGTTGGAAATTGGTGGTGGTAAAGAATTGTTTCCAAAGATATTTGAAATTATTGAAATAATTGCCCCGGTGTCTACTCCGGTGACCCTTGCCAGGGTCATATACGCTATTCTAGCGTTTTTGGCGCTCTGGATTATTATCTCGTCGCCATTTAAAAGAATTAATCAAACTGCTCAAGGTATGTCTTCGTTAATCATACATCTGATGTGCATTTATTTATTTATTATGTGTAAAATCTAAATTGTGTTTTTCATTAGTGTCCCAGATAACAATTTCGACTCTATTGTTATGCATCGCAACTTATCTCTTCATATTGTTATCACGACCGCATAACGCCCCTTTATACATATTGTATTACATTCAATATTCGTTGTTAATAAGATGGATCCGACTTAATATGAAATATGGAATACAAATATCACCATTGACCTTCAATTATATTCTACTGTGCTTAAAATTTATGTCATTCTTTTCCTTGGGAAATTCAAATTCTATAGCATCGATCGATATAAGTAATGCATATATAGGAGTTGATAGGTATAGTGTAGCTATAGTTGGAACATTGACATTTTTTGCAAATTGGGCGGGAAGTATTTGGTGGGTTCTTGCAGGAAACTTGATAAGATGTGAGATAAATGTTTATTTTAAAACATTGAGATCATTGGATATTTATAATGGTGACAGCGGTAGTGGAAGTAGTGGTCCTGTCGATGATATTGGTTCAGATGATTTCGATTCGGAAATTTTCGCCAAAGACGATCCCGAGAACGATGACCTTTTCTTTACACCAAAAGAAGACAGTGATAGTGATGATGATTATTCGGCACCTCTGTTTGTTACGTCGACACCCAATTCGCTAAGTGAATTCCTCGCTAATCAAGTCGCCAAAAACATAAACGACGAGGAGGTGGCGGAAAAAAGACAGATAAAAAGTCTGGTGACATTTTTAAATTCTACATATTATACAACGACATTTCATTCACTAGTCACATTTGTGTTATCGATAGGGGTCACAATATTAAAAGATCATTTATTCATTTGGACAGTATTTTCGCCCAAATATTTGTATCAAATTGTATGGTGCACTTTGTTTCAACTTTTAACTGAGATCGTGGGTGGCGGGTTAATATGTTGGATTTGTGGGAATGTTTTTGTCGATACTGGGGACGAAGTTTTTTCACCTGGCTTTTGAATTCTATTTTTTTTTTTTTTATTGAAAGGAAGTGCGAGAAAATTTTTATATACTGTATATATTATACATGGCGATGTCTATAATTCTATTTTTTTTCGAAATGAATAGATTTCTTTGTTAATTGATTTTGGTCGTCCTATTTCTTGAAAATATTTAGAAAATGGCAAGCAAAAAATTAGTCAATGTTCCGTGATCATACCGAGATTCTTATTGACTTGTATCCAATCTGAAAGAAGCAATGGAAATGCGAGTGGGTTTTTTCGAGTAATTTTATTATCTTGCTAAATATGGAAAACGCAAATTACAGAAAAAATATAATTTATTAAATGCAATATAAAATTACTGCAATTGATTAAAATAAAGCAGGTATATCTACATTCATTGCCCTCATAATTATAATTTACAAGTACTGCAACAATAAGTAACTATTAATTGATGATTTGATTAAAACCAATTTTAATCAATAAATAATAATTCACGGTAATTTTTATTATTTTTTTAATGAAATTTTAATACATATGATAAATTGTAATTTTGAAATATTGCTTACAGATACACACACACATATATATATATTTATTTATTTATTTAAAAAATTCATTTTGAATTAAATTGATTGTTATTGATATTTGCATTCATTGACAAAAAAATATTCAATATTCCCAAATAACAATTTTTGAATTAAGATCAGTAATTTTTTTTTTTTAAAAAAAAAATTATTATTATAAAATTAATGACATAAAAAATTTATTTAAAAAAAATATATCGTATCATTTATTTAATAGAGACATGTAAAGTAATTAACCAAAATTGCAAGAATTAAATTTATGAATTTTTAATTGATCGATTTGAGAATGATATCATTTAATATACAGACATAGCGTTGAAAACATTATATACTGTGATATATCGAATTGATGCCATTTTAATTAATTCAAATATGATTTATCTATTTTAAAAAAATTTTCAAAAAAATAAATAAGATAATAGAAAAATTATAATTGTTATTTTTCATTATTATTGTTATTTTTTTTCTTTATTTACGAAAAAAATAGAATTGTTATTTTTCATTATCAGTTATTGTTTTTTTTTCTTTATTTACGAAAAAACCATTAATTGGTTTTTTTTTTAATTTTATTTATTCAATTACTACATAAAGTATATGCAGCAGATTCGTAAGAATAATCCGAAGGCCGAATATCCCTAAATATTTAAAAAATAATTGTAATTAATGCTGTATCTTATTTGGAGATAAGGTAGTTGTCATGCGCATTCTAGGCGACACCCGAACCGATATGCACTTGGATATTACAAAAAGTCGGCTTTTTTACTGGGGTTATAAACATCTGTGCGGTGGAAAGTAACCTTTCTTGGAAATGGAGTGTTACTGTAAAATTATTAGCAACCCTGGAAAGATAGAAGAACGTGTATCAATTATTTTTATTACTTTTTATTTTGTTTTTTAAAGGAGACGGAAAAGATTTTAACAAGCACATTTTTTAAACGAATTTAAGATGATATAACTAAGACTACATGAAAGGCTATGAAACATACAGTATAAACAAGTCTATATAAACTCTAGAAACAAATGGATAAATGATAATTAAAAACTAAAAAAGTTTAAGAAACTGTACACGGGAAGAATATAATAAAGAACATGGTGCACGTATTTTCACGAAAAATATTGTTTTGTGAAGACAAATTAACATTATATTTAAAAGGAAACGCCCTTTTAACTAATCCTTAGCCTTATCTTTAGCCTGAACCAATAGAATAGGTTTCATATATGGATCTTCCTTCTTTGCAGCTTCAGCAGCATTTCTCATGGTAGCGGTCGCTACCGCTGCAACACTCCATTTAAAGAATCCACTAATTCTCTTACTGCTGGCCGCACTATTTGTAGTATTTGCAGTTCCTGTGGGAACAACATTCATGGTAGACGATCGCTTTGGCAGGTTCACGTAGCGAGGACTCTCTTGTACCAACGCTCCATCCGCCGAGTTACTACCAGTACGTGTTCTGTTTGGTGGAGATGTTCTGCTTGCATTGTCACCATTTAAGGATTCAAACGTAGTAAGCGGCCGTGATGACCGTTGCTGTGGATTATTCTTGGATTCGTCATCGTCGGATTTTGTTGTCTCCTCTTCCTTTAGCGTGGCGAATGAAGTTTTTGCGGATGTTGGTGAACGTGGAAATTTAAAGTCGGACTTTAGGGAGTTTGGACGTGCAGGCTTCTCTGATTTTGTGGACTTTGAAGACTTTTCTTGCGAAGTTGAGGTCCAGTTTGTGGCCAATGTTTCCTCAAAACCATCTACTTCCATTATACGATTCAGCATTTTTTGAATGTATAGAGTCATTGATTCGTTATCACCTCTGAGCGTCTTGATTTCGTCTTGAAGTTCTATAAATAATAAATTTTCGGAGATAAAATCAGTCAAACATTATTCGAAAACGACGTGAGTTTGATCATTAAAAAAATTTTTTTAAAAAAAAGACAATTACTTTCAATCAAGGTATGATCGCTTTCTTTATATACAGCTTCTCCAGCCGTCTTCACCTCATCGTCAGATGAAATCGATTTTGAACGACTTTCATTCCGTTTCTTTTCTTCATAGTACATCGTTTCCAATTGCTTATACTAATTGATTGATACAAATAAACAAATTTGTGAGTCTAGAGTTTTCAAATCTCGCTTCTCCAAGCGATTCTTCCAACATACCTCATTTTCTTTGTCAACCAATTTTTTTTGATAAATTTCCATATCGTTTGATAACGACTTATTGACAATCTTTAGTTGTTCCGAGTCCTGCTCCAACTGTTTAATTCTCCTCACATGAGTCTTATTCAATTCTATCGACTCTCGATTTTCCTTTTTCGTTCTTTCCAGCTCTAACAAAGTATCATTCAACTTTTTCTCGAGGTCCTTGATTTGCCTCTGGGCAGCCATGGATTCCCGATGGGAAGTCTCCGTTGGCGAATGAGTCAATGCAAAGTCGGAAACAGACGATGCATAAGATGATGAAGAGTATCGTTTGGAATACATATCCTGAGTTAAGGAAATTCCAACCGGTGGAGTCTTTTGATAGTAACCCTTGTTATAAGGCAGCGAATCTTTTGAAGTAAAAAAATAAGAATTTTTTTTTTGAATATGAGAAAAGAATTAAATGTCTGCAGTAAAGCTCAATTTGAATGTTATTAAATCAGGAGAAAGAAAGAAAGAGAGCAAAACATGACAAAGAAGGATGTATCGAAAGCATGATATAATAAAGGGAGGACACAACACCAAATGATAATATGATAAGTGATAGGATAAAAAATGAATGAACTTTACCCACCATTAGATTCGAATTGATCATTCAGTTGTACAGGTTCTTCCATCTTTTCGTATTCGTTATTCCTTGTTGCAGTTGCGAGTAAAGAATAACCAATGAATTACAATGTCAAGTAGAGAATATCTCGAATGATGTATCTTTTATAAGTGCCCTGGAATAACCCGTAGACAATTTTTTTTTACAACGTTTATGAATAGTAAAAATTTACAATCGAGTAGATTTTGAGTATTTGGGAAACCTGATAGAAGTTATATGAGGAGCCTATATATAATTTTAGGAGGATAAGCCATTAAACAAGTATTGCGTTTTAAAAAGAACAAAGCAAAAAAAAAACAATTTTTCTGATGGGCCAGAATAAATATAACAATTATTCGAAAATTGTGTTATGAAACCATAGCAAAGAGGGGGCCCGTACTGTGACAGAAACGCTTGTACTCAAGTTGGTGTTTTTATATGTTTGCTGTTGTGTATATTAATATTTACCTGATGTATTTTGTGCACTTTTCTTTCTGATACTTCATGAAGGAGTAAGAAAACCGGAAGATCGGTAAATAATAATCACAACGTGTAAAAAGGTGACACTGAATTCGTGGTCACTGCAAGAATTATTCTGTACGAGGTTCTGTGCTTCCAATTTATGTTATAACATCACGGAATACTATAAGGATTTAATTAATTTATATTGATGAGCAAATGATTTGTTGCACAGATTAGGAAAATTCTCTGCGTATCGAAAACATCCCGGGTAAAGTTGTTGGATGGTTTAATAATATAAATCAGCAGAGCTGATAGCGTTATTTGTTGAATCAACAGGACCTATGAGCTTTTTGAATAATTGTAAATAATGTCATTGAATGTATGTTCGTCAATAAGGTTTTCGATGTTCGTTATTAGAATTTTTTGAATTACAGTAAATCAATGACAAGAATCCAAAGATTGTACTAAAAAGCATTTCCTTTATTCTATCAATATGTTTAGGAAAAACAAAATGTTTGTTTGAAAATATGAAACAATTAAGATTCTCTCCATTTACTAACGCATGTGATCACGAAACTGCGTGATCATTTTAAATTACGCACGCAACAGTTAAAAAGCTAAGTTTGATAATAGTAAATAGATAATACTAACGATAAATGGCATTAATCCCAATTCGTGCAATTCAACGATTACGTATTTATCGTGTATGAACCATGTACAGTATTTCGTATTCCGCCAATCTCTCTCCGTATTATTTTGGGACAGATACCTTTTCTCCGTACACGTGGTTTAATTTGGGACTAAAGGATACGTTTCACAGGCGGTCCAAAAAAAAATTACGTATGTCATGACAATATCGCATTACAGTATTGTGAATGCCTCCTTATTTGGCACCAACTAGTTTCATCACGTGAAATACTATAGCACGTCCTCAAACGCAAGGTATCAGTCTTTTTCTATGCATCAAAATAACGGTCTAGTTTCAAGTTTTGAGTCATTGTGTAGAAATTGCCGTGGCTCAACTTCCCAAGTACGGGGGATGTTTAGCATTTGACTATTATGGAAATAGTCGATACTGCTACAACTGATTTCCACTATGATTTATACGGAGAATGATTCCGGTAATAGCAAAAAGAAAGAAACTATTTTCCCGTAAATTGTTATTCATGGGAATCTCATACTCAAGAACTAAATGAGAGTCCCATATATAATATTTTGGCGCAGAGATAAATATTCCATTGAACTTTATTGTCTTAGCGCTCTTTCCTTTTTTCATAATCCATTTTCAACCTGCATAAAGTTTGTGAAGGTCTTTCTTTTTATTAGGATGGTATTATGTTTTCTTCAGGAAAAAAAAAGAAAGAAAGAAAGAAAACTTACGAGCTTTTTCACGTTAATCACTACCGTTATAAAAGTACGACGAAAAAGAAAAGGTAAAAACTACTGTTTATTTTTTTTAAAGTTTGATACTAAAATATTTATGGATGTTTGTTTCTGCAATAAAATTATTCCATTTTCTAAAAATCTTGAAATTTTTTTATCAAGCACGAATCTCTCAAAATACTATGTATTCTAAATAAAAAAATTAAATAAATAACTCGCAAATTTTCATTTACATTAATGAAATTGATGAATATCAATTAATGATATAATAAATATAATGATTGGATTTTATTTAATATATTGTACATTGGTTTATTTATGCACAATATATTTGACAAAACGCAAATAAAATTGTTTAGAATAAAATATCTTGAAACTTTATTATTTAATCGATACTGTATATTGTACAGTATGGATTGTTTTTTTTTTTTTTAAAAAAAAAAAAATTATTATTATCATGTTACAATATATCGTTATTAAATTTATATACAGTATACAGTACAATTTATTAACTTATATAATAATCGAAAAATTATTGAATTTAAAAAATAAATAAACAGTTTTCAAAAAATACATACATAAAATTTTTTAAAATACAAACACTAAAGTATGTTGATAAAATAATTTTTAAATACAGTATTCTTAAAATAAATATCGAATATTTAAACATACAATTAAATTATTAAATTAACAATGATATTATTGCTTCTATAATATTTAAAATAAAAAGATTTAAAAAAGTAAATTAAATAATATTATAATATTTTATTATTATTATTATTTATTATTATTAATTAATTACAATATATTTTATTTAAGATTTTGTTTAATAAATAATTCTATATATTTTTTATATTTTATAATTATTTAATTACAAATTAAAATCTTATATTTATATATATAATATATAATAAATATGTTTACTTAAAAATATTATTTAAAATTACTTGCAAATATACAGTATGATGCAAAAGTCTTTGAACTAATATTTTTTACTATAATTCAATAAATATTTATTTAATTTAAATAAAATCTCAATAAAATAATTTTGTGATTCTAATAATAATAATAATAATAATAAAGTTTTTTTATTAATTAATTAATAATTTTATTATAAAATTTTGATTTAAAAATTTTTAAAGAGACCCTATACTTTATTGACTTTTTTTATATATAAATTTCAAATTATTTTATTATTAAAATTTTTAAAAATTTTGAATTTAAAATTAATTATAAAATTCAAAAAAAATTTTGTGACTATAAAAAATTTATTAAATATTTCTTATATTATATAAATTAATATTATGGAATTAATAGATTTTTTATTTTATAAAATTAATTTCAAAAAAAATTTTAAAACTTTTTAAAAAATCAATTTTATTATAAAATTTTTTAACTTTATAGTAAATTTTATAAATTTTATAAATTTTTCATTTAATTTTACTTTATAGAAATTTTTTTAATTGATAAAAAAATTATAAAAAAATTGTTTTTTGATTTTTTTTACCCCTATTTAACAAATCTATGCATTGAATTAATTTTGTTAATTTTTTATAATTTGTAATATACAATAAAATTTTGGATATAGCTTTAAAACAAACTTTTAACTTTGAATCAAAATTCAATTATATTGTTATAATATAATTAAAAAATTTTTTTAATTAATCTTATTCTATAGGATTTTAAATACAGTATGGGATAATTGCTTTTGGAAAAATTTAATTAATTATAATTTAATAAAAATTTTATTAATATAATATAAAAATTTAATCATATATTTTTTAAATATTTAAAAATCATTTATTAAAGTTTATTTATTAATTTATTAATAAATTTATTGCAAAATTTTGTTTTAAAGTTAAAAAAAACTATTTTAAAAATTTCATTATAAAATTTATATATAAAATTATATATATTTTATAGATGGAAAAAAATTTTTTTCATTATAACAAATATTTTTAAAAAATTAATTAAAAATTAAAAAAAATTTTTTTAATATATGAAAATTTTATAAAATATTATTTAGAATGTTTAAATAATATAATTAAAATTATTTTATAATTTATATTTTTAAAATTATAAAAATCTAGTTTTAATATAAATTTTTCAAAATTTCTTATTTTTAAATCAAATTTTTAAAATTTTTAATTAAATTGGTTTTTTTAATCAATAAAATTACAATTTTATAATTTTATATATTAAGTTTATTTTAAATTATTTTTATTATTTAGTTTTTATAATTTTTTAAAAATCAATTTTTTATAAAATTTTTTTAATTTTAAATTAAAATTTTATAAAATTTTTTTAATTTTAAATTAAAATTTTATAAAATTATAATATTAAAATTAAAAAAAATAAGACCTGTAGGTCTATAATGGAATGATTAACATTCTACAGATCAGATTATAAAATACCAGTTCAATTCCAAGTGAAGACAATTGAATAGAACTTATATGGTATCTGGCACTATAACCTGTTATGTGTTATTTCTCATAGGAAGCTGTTTCATATACTGATTCAGTGGGTATTGAGATTATAATCTTCAGAAAAGGTATCGTGGCGCAACAATTATCCAGGTGGTATTACAATGATTGCTAGAAGCATGCCAATGGTAGTTGAACAACATGATAAGCCAAGAGGCATGTGTTTAACTTTCTTAATCAATACTTCCCTTGTATTTGATTGTACAAACTGTGTTGTATCCCATCCTAATCAAATTCCAATTCTCTCCTTTCAATGGTGGTTAGAACTTTAGCCAGAATATCTCAATTCAGTGTAAAGCCTAATTGGTTTGAAAAATAATTAGCCACAAGTGATGAGAAGGATTACAGTTTTATAGAAGATACCAAAGGCCAAATAAAAATATAATCTGAGATTTGGCAATAAGGTAAAGAGACACTTGGACTAACCCCCTTAATCAAGTCACCTCTGGACAAAGCTAAACCAATAGGTTAGGTAGTTTAAACTAGTGGTAGAATTTCTATACCCTATAGGTTCCTGCCTAGTATCACGTAGGAAATCATTTAAAGTGATAGGTTCCTGGATGCTAGATATAAGATGGGGTATAGGGAATAATCTACATAGAGTATATAATATACTGACTTATATAAGTCCTAATGTTGCAAATGTAATTGATATAAGGTACTTATCAATAAAAATTTTGTAAATCCATATTTATATCTTAAA